TACTCTGCATTTTACAAAATTAGATGCCAAGTTTCACTCTGAAATACAGAGACCTCACACTTTTATACACAATACCTATTTAGAAAGCAAACTTCAATCTTCTCCATCTTAAAATCTGTAACACTCAGATTATTCACATCTGGACTGAAGTATTGTGAAGCACAGGTAATTTTGATATATTCAAATTTTCAAGACTTACTGTTACTGTTTAAACATTGTAATTGTCTTTGTGCTTGAGATGAATAAGTACTGAAGTCTGGAAACAATACATCTTTCCATGACGGAGAATAGAAGAAAGCTCAACCTCGATGTTTTGATGTTAATTTTCTAACTTCAACAAACCAGCTTCAGAAGCAACATATTCGGCCATTATTTGGATTTAGCTTAAGTTAAAATAGAAAAAATATATTTTTGTACTTAGTTTAAGTTAATTGTAAATAATTATTTTAACTGCAATACTGTCAAAGTGTTGCTAACAGTATACCCAGCACTAACACATAATACTGAAGATCAGCAAGAACGTAAAGCTAAAAGTGTTGGTTTATTTTCCTTCTCTTTACAACAATAAAAGGATTGCAGCCAAGATGCACACCTTGGAAACACATTGGTATGGACCCTTAACTTTAAATAGTCTGCCTGAAAGGGTAAATTTATGGCCATCAAGCAAAGCTCTCAGCAGCCAGTGTGGTCCAGTACAAATAGGGCCGATGTTACAGGAGGTTTAAGAGGAGAACATATGGCTGCAAAGTCCATTTCCTCCTCACCCACCAGGAGCTGTGAGTGAGATGGAGTATGCTAATGATCACTGTTCCAGATCACTATTCTTAAAGTACATTTGCACACGCAAGCACACACACACACACACACAGTAACGTGTTGAACATTTTTAAATAGTCCTCGAAGACCCTCATCACCCTATTTTTCCAATCCATCTTCGGTCTCTACAGCTATGAAATTTTATCTGGTAGAACACAAACACAAACACATACACGCACACACGCACGCAAACCACGTCTTTAAACTGCACTATTTCCACATGATTTCCACATTGTAATTAGATCGCTTCATAAAGATGGTCAGCCTTTGCTCCCATCCTCCCTACTTCAACACACACAAACACGCATTCCTGCTCTCTGTTTCAAGACAGTTGAACTCTGTCTGGAAATTGGTAAATTGGTATAAATGATAAACACATTAAAGTTCAAAAAAAGTCTGGATGCCACGCACTACACTGCTTCGATTCAGCAGAAAAGACACGGCCCTCTGTGCTTCCCTGTGTGTGTTCATTGTGATTGGATATTCTCACGGTCACACAACTTTGCCGATCAGCCTTGAGGAAAATCACTCTATCCTCTGAACTGAAGCTGCACCTTCGAAAATTCAATTCTTCGATGTTTTTACAGAACCTTCCTGAAAACTATAAAATTCAACTCTTCACGATTGGACTCAGTTAATTCAATCAGTGCGATAGAAGGGGTTTACTCAAATATTCATTTTCTGTGCTCTGCAATGTTTTTGCATTGAATAGCACAAGCAATCTCTTTCATTTTCAGAACGCAAAATAATTTTAGCGTCGACCTGATCTGTCAGTTAGCAGGAAATTAAATTTAACTTAAAAAATAAAAATCACCTGCAAATATACACCACTTCAGTGAACATGTTATTCATGAATTCAAAGATTATATTATTTGTTTTTTATTTATTATATATATATATATATATATATATATATATATATATATATATATATATATATATATATATATATATATATATATACATACATATATATATATAGACAATGTGTTCAGTGAATGTCTCAGACAACAGGGAACGGAGGTTGAGGTGCCAGAGATACCATCATGGGAGGACAAACCCCTACATGGGATGTACCACCAGCAAATAACCCAAGTGGCTGATATCAGTAAATCCTACCAATGGCTGGAAAAAGCTGGACTCAAGGACAGCACAGAGGCCCTCATCCTGGCCGCCCAGGAACAGGCCCTAAACACCAGAGCAATAGAGGCCCAGATCTACCACACCAGACAAGACCCAAGGTGTAGGTTGTGCAAGGAGGCCCCTGAGACAGTCCAGCACATCACAGCAGGGTGCAAGATACTGGCAGGGAAAGCGTACATGGAGCGACATAACCAAGTGGCAGGCATAGTGTACAGAAACATCTGTGCAGAATATGGACTGGAAACCCCGAGATCAAAGTGGGAAACACCCCCAAAGGTGGTGGAGAACGCCAGAGCTAAGATCCTGTGGGACTTCCAGATCCAGACAGACAAAATGGTAATGGCGAACCAACCAACATTGTCGTAGTGGATAAACAACAGAGGAAAGCCGTTGTGGTAGATGTAGCAATACCAGCGACTGCAACATCAGGAAAAAGGAGCACGAGAAACTGGAGAAATACCAGGGCCTCAGGGAAGAACTGGAGAGGGCCTGGAAGGTGAAGACCACAGTGGTGCCTGTGGTCATCGGGGCCCTCGGGGCAGTAACCCCCAAACTGGAGCAGTGGCTACAACAGATCCCAGGAACAACATCAGACATCTCAGTCCAGAAATGTGCAGTCCTTGGCACAGCCAAGATACTGCGCAGAACCCTCAAGCTCCCAGGCCTCTGGTAGAGGACCCGAGCTCAGAGGATAAGAACCACCCGCGGTGGGTGAGAAGGGAATTTTTTTATATATCAAAAGCCAAGAACCCTACAATCTCACAATCTACTTAACAACAAAAGACCACCTGAAAGCCAAAAGTTTTACTGAGTAAATTGGCCATTAAAATGGAAACTACTAATGGTTCCAGTCTGAATGAGCTCAAGATTTTGTCCATGAAAAAAAATAAATAAATAAATAAAATCTACACGCAGATTATAGTATATAGTCATCACCAATTTCTTCAATTGTTTTTCAGTGTTGGCAAAACTTTCTGAAACATTTATTTATTTTTTTTCAGTTTTACAACTGCAACAATAAATATAATAAATTCTGATGGGTACACTGCTGTGATCAAACAGCATTACTGAGAAACAGAATAAATGCCTTCAACATGAGGACTGCTGTTACAAGATTGACTGGAGTCATCCAAGCGAGTGATCGTCCGACCACAGAGCGATAAAGCAGGGAATCGATCTTACAGTACTAATGGATTAGGAAGGTCTAGGTAGATGCTCCGATATCTGTCAGCTGCTTCCATGTGTCTCTTTAAATAAGTAACGCACTGCAAATCAATACGTGGCAATCGGACTCACTAAACATTCAACTGGCCAGAGATCAATAACACTTAGCATTCTCTCTGCTAAATCCTAACAAGCTTAATATGACAGAAGAAGAGTGATGGAGATTGAATACTGATCCACAAACCTCTGAAAGAGGTTGAGAAAGTGCCCAACAAAAAAAGGGCAGCATCTACCCTCCTGCTCAAAGAGCGAGCAGCGACGAGAACAAAAAAGGCCCTCGCATCGACGTTTCCCATCGTTACACAGAAGAGCAAAAGAAGAGCACCGAAGATCTCCTCCACTTGACAAACTGACATGCTCTGCAAGAAAATACTCCCGTCTCCCTCTGCTGCCAAGACTCCCCTCCAGCCAAAATGCATCTGGTGCCAGAAGTCACTCAAGCATTTGTTTTTGTGTGCATTTTGTGCATACACAATCTCTCTTAGAAATGGTACCTTCCAAACTAGTCAGCCATTCAGAGTTTTACTGGGGAAAGATTGGATCAATATCAGGTCAATTTCCATATTTTTGTTAGTTTTTTTTTTTTTTTTTTACGCTATGCAAGAAAAACGACTGAGCACACTTTCATATCCACAGCCAATTTAAAAAGTCAGGCGGCTGCCAAGAATAGCCACGTCTTGAGGTAGTTTAATGCCTTGCTCAAGGGCCCAGTACATAATGTTCCAAAGAGAATCGCAGGTCGCGTCATAAATATTTCAAATTTAATTTCAAATTATACCAAATATTATAAGTGAATTTATCATTAAAAACAGTATTGGGGTTCTTCTCATTTCCATTTTATTGTTAATTTGCATAGTAATCAAAATTTGCCTGGTACTAAACATTATCTAAAAAGCTTTGATCATGTTTAATTCCTGGAAGATTAGACAAAATCTTCCACATGCACTTTAAAATGCAGATATTTAGGTAATTTGTTGCAAAAAAAAAAAAAAGAAAGAAAAAAAAAAGAACTGGACTTTTTGAGTTTTTTTAACAGCTGCTAAAATCATGAAAGCGTCTCGGGGGATCTTGGTTAAGGGTGGGGGAGAAAAAGCAGAAGCAATACAAGAAAGGAAGCTTCAATTTAGCACATAGAAACCACAACTGTGGGAGATATTTCCAAATTTGTGGTGTACAACATCCCTACCATTAAAATTTTGTGGAAATATTAGTTTCATCTCTTTGTTTCTGAGAAAATTACACTGGGTATGTGCCACCAATCAACCAGTCTGCCAAAAAACAAATATCTGTCCAATACTTTGTCAAAACGTCCTGTACGTTCTGTTCTAAAGATGATCAAAAATAAATACAGAATTCATTTTAACAGAATAAAACTAGCCAACACCAACTAATCTTATTTTTGCTGCATTTCAGTCCAATATATAATCACCTCATCCTACTTTGATATTTTATGCTGAGGGTGCTGCAGCAAGGGCTGCAAGAGAGAGAGCCCAGAATATTGCAAATACATCATCAATGTAAGCTTATTATGTGCAATATTCACATCATAAAGAACTGTTTGGAGAGCAATAACTGTTGGCCAAGACATCCCAACTGTTATAAACATGTATTTTACACAGTAATGTAACATTTAGCCAGTTGGACAGAGTCTCGTGGCAGCAGATGTTCATACAGGACATAAATGACACTCCCCAAAATAAAGCTCACAGAGCGAAAAAGCAGACATGAGAAAGAGAGGAACTAGGAAATTAGGCGTACACCAGGACTTAAGTTGAACCCATTTAGAAGAGAATGTTCAACCACAAGCAAAAACTCACTGCATCCGTCCTCATCGCTGTGGTCCCCGCAATCATTGTCTCCGTCACACTGCCACTGGGCCGGAATGCAGGTACACTCCCCAAACGCGCTGACCGCACATGTGAAGTGGTTCCTCCCGCACGAACAGTCAGCACTCCCCTGAACACCTGCAAAAGACCAGAAATAAAGGTTATAGTTCCTGTGACATAAACTGGGGATCCGAATCGTTGGCTTTGGTCATCATTTCTCAACAGTTTGACACTGCTCTGTAAACCACAATGCATAAAACAAAGGGTTGCAGAAAGCAACAGACGTCAAAGATGTTTAAAGTTACAAGATGACAGTGAATCTAAATAAAACAGATTGTAAAAATTGATTTTTACCCTCCTCTCCCCATTCCACGTGTTCATATCTGAAGCAGTAAACAATTTAATAACTCTGCAGAGGTTCATAACATCCTGATTTATGGCATCAGCGTTTAGAAATTTCTGAAGAAAATCACAGGTGCTTTTATGAATTGATGCTTTGAGCATAAAACATTTCTCTTGCAGATATTTCTCTGAAAGTGCAAGACTTTATCTGGTAAATCAATCGATGAGCAACGAGTCCTTGCTTTAATCAAAGAAATTACTAAATCAAATATAGAAATTAAAATGTTTTCTTTTTCTGATCTAGTATAAAATTTGATTTATGTTGGTAAAGAAGTCTCTTTAGAGTGTGTGCTTTTCATGGAGCTGCACCATAAGTATTAAAAGTTAACACTTAAATCTGAATCCAGTTACAGAAAAAGTCTTCAACACAAGTATAACAGCAAAGAGGTTGGTTTTATTTGAATTACAGATGTAACTCTCTAAGGAATTGTAACCAGAGATCTCGCAGTATATTTGTCAGTCTGTCCTACAACAGACTGTCCAACCCTGATTGAATCCTAACTATCCAAACACATAAAATAGGTGAAAGGCCTGTCAATACAAGCTCTGACCAAGACAGTGAATGCTTCACATTTGACAGTGTGTTGAAACTCTTATTTTGAAGATAAGGATGTTATTGACTTGCCTTGTCAATACTGACAGTTGCGGTACAAACTTTTAGAAGTACTGACCAACACTAAAGCATAAGGAAGCTTCCACTAATCTGCTACGCAACACTGCAGAAAAAGATAACTGACAGACACCCTATGAATTAACTGTCAGCATTATGACATACACAAAGTGACAATACATGTGGATGGTACAGATGCTTTTCCAGATGATTTGCCTTCTGAGACAAGATGAAAAGCAGCACTTGGTGATTTACAGACTTGTTTTTTCGTCTTAAGCTTAATCATTGCAAAACAACAAAAAAAGTAGGACATTACGGATGGCTTACAATGACATAAGTGTTAATCATTAATGAGCTTTCAGTGTTGCAAATTTAAATCAGACTATAAATCACTCAGATGACCAATATAAATTATCAATGCGTAAAACAAAGGATAACTAAAAGTTCTTTCTAGTGTACAACATCAGGAGGATTTTGTTTCTAGGTGATGAAGTTTTAGATATATTTCCAATTTGAATGCTTGAGATTTTATGGTTAGTTGTCAATAGGACTGTATCTGTTGAAAGCATACAATGAAAAATCCTGAAAAATCTGTCAAATTCAGTGTATGCCCCATTTCCAAGTACAGCAAATCTATAAACAAACAGCAATTGTGTAATAAGCAATAAACATGTGATGGTGTTGCAGTTTTGCATGTGTAGAAATTGAACAGTTTCTCCCGAAATGATAAAAAAGCCAAATGCACACTTAGCCACAGCAACAACAACAACAAAAAAAAAAAAACACCACATGATCACACACATCACAGCGACGCGAGACCATGAGATGGAACAAATAAAAGTTTCCCCGTTTTGCTCTCACTTTGAAGTCTATTAATGACCATCTGTGTGTGTTTGAGTGTCAGTTTAGCTGAAACTGGCCGGCCACAACCCAAAGTTCTTGGAGTATGTGTGTGAGGGTGTGCGTGTGTGTGTGTGTGTCTGTGTGTATGTGCGTGTGTGGTTCCTGGCCTCTTCACAAAGGCATCAGTCAACCCAGGAGGGCCTGGCAGGGAGAGCTCAGTAAGCTTCAGATCCCTCCCACAGCACTAAATTAATGGCCTCTTTCTATTCATTTCCCTCTCTCTGTCTCTTTCTCCTCTTTCCACCATTCTTTCTTCACATTTCTTCACCCCTTAAGTTGCCTCCCTTCTTTTCTGCACTCCCCCCCCCCTTCCAGTCCCCTTGTTTCCAGAGCTCCCCACTAATGGGAGTGAAACGGCGATGGCGTCATCCGAGTCTTCCTGTCTTTAAACTTGTCTTTCTAATTTTCTAGCACAGTCTGTAATTCCTCAAGTCTCCGACCCTCGGGCCGTGGCGTTTACCTCGTGAGAGACAACAGAGGACAAAGAGACAGAACTAAAGTCGCCAACAAGGTTTTGGTATTTGTCAGCACAGCCTGTTCAGCTTAGACCATGGAGTAGTAAGCTTTGCTCAATTTATAATGTTGAGCTAATGTGCATTCACTGTGGGTTCCGTAGCGCTAAATTAGAGTCTGTGAGATGGATCAGAAGTCATGTCAACATGAAGCCACATCACAGGACTTGCATTTGTCAGACATGCTTTAAAAAGCATAGGTCACTAGGTCTCAGCCAAAGAAACCGACAGACCCCAGCAGAAAGCCACCAATGACACCATGCAAAAAATTTACATCAATTATTCTAAAGCAGTATAGATAAAACCATGTTCCCCAATCTGCACAGGCAGATGGAATCATTGCGGCGATATTACAGGATGCCACCTCCCAGAAGGAAAACGCTAAACATTTTCAACAGAGAAAATTGAAGCACTATTTTTTCCCCACAGCTATGGTGGAAGTTAGTGTCAATGATTCTTAAAAGTAAAAAAACAAACAAATTTAAAAACTAACAGATAAGTCACAAGCATCAGAGAAAATCATAGATGATTCAATCCAATATTTTTAGGCTGTGATCACAATGTCAGAATTTAAAGGACAGCCGATACCAGAACTTCTAAATCAAATAATTTGTTAATCAAATATTCAATGACGTCTGCATAAAAGCAGGCTGTAGTAGAACCACAGTGATTCAGAAACACATAAATACAATGTCAAAGTCAGTTTTATATCCAACATGTCCAGGTTTAAATGACTAATGTTCCAACATGGTTTTGAGGATGAGTTCCTCAAGACCATGCTGGATTTTTTTGCTGTTTTTATGTTTTAAACTGTTTATCCAAAGGTAGAAAAATCTTAAACACTTTAGTCAAATTGATTACTGCAACAGTGTCTGTCAAAAAGGTCAATCAGACAGCTGCAGCTGATTCGGAACAATCTGCTCACATTCTCAGTTTTGTGAAAAATAGAAAAAATTTAAGTTGCAAAAGAAAAAACAAGTGGAAAAACTGACGGAGACTGTGACACCACGGTTCGATCTTGACACTTTATTAGAAATAATTACAAGTAATACAAATAGAAATTAAAAAATTCTAAAAGTACCGAAATATTATCTGCCACAACCGATGATGGGAAAAGAAAATTAACACAGCAAGCAGAAACAGGCATCAGTTTAGGAAAGTATAAAAGTATGCCCAAACCAGACAGACATACCTGTATATTCATTAATGATAACAAAAAAACAGCATTTACTGCGAAAGCAAAGGGAGATCATCAGCGCGCAATAGATTGCTACGCAAGGCTGCAGACACACAGACTGTGCAGCAGCCAGGCCCAGCAGCCCAGCGCCTTTGGAGAGCGCCAGCGTGACAAGTCTCTGATGCATCACAAAGATAACAGATCACAAGCGAGGCTTTTTTCGTAGACACAGTAGGTCACTTTGTGCTGTAAATACAGGTCTAACAACAAACTATCAAAATATCAAAAGACTGTTCATGTGAAGCACGAACAGAAGGATCGCCTCAGCTGTTCACTGATGCGATGCTTGGATTTTTTTTAACAAAAGAAGGTGAGCTGGGAGAACTGAAAGTAAGAATCAGAGACAAAGGGCCAACATCAACATTGTACCTTTTTGAAGTTTTGTTTTTTTCCTTGTCCAGTTTCAAAACGGTGCTTAGAAAAAACAATTCCTTATAAATTTATTTTATTTTTACTTTTTTGTTCTACTAACATGGCTCACATCACTGAACAAGTTTCAATATCAGATAGTCTTGAGTCGATACAAATGCATCTTTCAAGTTACGTCATTAAAAAGGGTAACAAACTAAAAGAACCAGCCTGCCAAAATAAAAAACTTGCTCCCTAAATCTAATTCTGTAAGTGGTTGTGCAAAGCTTGGCAGCACTAACTGCCATCAAGCAATTGTGACAATTACCAACAAATGTTTTGCCTTTTCGTGAAGGTATGTTGTTCCACCTTGCAGAATTCCCCAAGTCAACCATTTTGGAGGGTTATGGAGCATAAATTGTCTGATTAAGGGCAAGTCATAGTATCTCAATCAGGTTAGGTTCAGATTTATCCTGGTCCTTTCCAAACCTGCACATTGTTTTTGAGGGTTGCTTGAGCAGTTAAGAGGTGGACTTGCTGGTGTTCTATGGACATTAATAATCCTCATAAAGTAATAACCAGATAGTGTTCTTCAGGATGTTATGGCAGAAAATTCATGATTTCTTAATTATAATGAATGAATTTGTTCTTCATTCTTTTCTGATTCTTTTTTAACTGGGATTTGCTTTGTTGTTCATCATTAATGTTTCACATTGTTATGTCAGACAGGTTCTATTTTAGGGAGTTCTTGATTCTATACATCTGACTATATAATCAAGTGGTGCTGTGGCTGAAAATTTGATCAAAAGTTACATAAATCATGGCAATTGACGATTTATGCAACAAGTGTGACAAATCTGTGTCCGCTAGTGCCAAGTCGGTTTGTACGGAGCCCCCTAGGGGACATGGGGAATTCTTTTTTCTTTTGCATTCCCTTCGCAAAACCTTTTGTTTTGCTAGGGGACGCAAAAGTATTGCGAGGGGACGAAAAAGAAAAAAAAATTTCCCCATGTCCCCTAGGGGGCTCTGTAGGTTTGAATGGCTAGTTTTAGCTTAAAAACAAAAAAAAAACTTTGAAAAAAATGCTCTGTATTGACTGTTTATTTTTGTTCCATACTAAAATTGA